GAGGCGGCCCATTTAGCTTGCATGCTAATTTATTTGCTTTTCTAGTTAATTTGTTGATTAATTAGGGTTTTGTAATATTCAATTAGCTAGAGTAATTAATTATTTATTCGGACTGTATTATTTATTCGGACCCTCCGAGCGAGGGCACAATTGTAATAAGTGTGCGTGTGTGTGATGTATGTCTTCCAATCCCGCGTCTTTCTCCCTTTTATTTACCAGCTTATGATGGTTAGATTAGAGCATGTTTCAATTAGCGTACCTATGCTTGCATGTTTACATGATTCATCTGTATTGCATGCACCGGGCTTGGTGCATCATACTAACTGCATTGTATTTCAATTCTGAGTTGAATACATGTATCAGTTGTTGCATTTCATATGCCATTTTAGAATAGCCGAGCCTATCTTAGTTGCATTTTTGCATGTGTTGCATTAGCCATCTTAACATGAACTAGGATCCTGCATTGATTACTAACTAGTTTCTGTTTTGGCTTGGAGTACTCGGTAAGTATTTATGCTTTAGCATCCTTGCATGTGTGTGAGTGATTGCCATGATAGCATGCTTACCATGAGGCTATGTGCTTATGTGATATACCTGCTAATCGCTTATGTGTTTAACTGCCTGAATGCCTGTGGGTGAAGGTTGGATTACTTGAATTGGAGCAATTCATCAAATCCCTAATTTAGCCTACTTGCTAGTAGCAAATTTCAAACCATTTTCAAACAAACGGATATGCAATGCTTTGTTCCAAATTAGGCGATCTAGTCTATACTTGTTTTGTTGTGTGCATCACATAGTAGTTCTAGCTAATTAACCGGAATAAGAATGCATGTGTTTTTAAAAATAAGATATCATGCTTAGTACAGGCCGATCTTTGATTGGGCGAGCGGGGGTGCTCATTAAATGACCTTCCCCAATCGTACCCAAGTTCCCGAGCCGAGGCAACTTTGGTGATGACGGACACGTGGCCTTAGGCACGAGTCAGGGTTTCCTAAATTCCCCTAAAATAAAATATTTAGGTAACGACTCTGTATCTGGCAAAGCAGTCCATGTTTGGCACTTCTTTCAAAAGAATTTGTTTTCAAAAATGATTTGTCGGATTTGGACTCTTTGATGATTCATCGGTCTTGCATTGCACTCTACGAGATTAGATACAGGACCGTGACATTTGAGTCCTGAATTGTACTGAGCCCATATGAACAAAATGGGATTTCCCTCCCGGGGCGTTCAGGGACGTCTACAATTGCAAGCTCAGTTTTTTTACTCCCAAGGAAATAGAAAAGATTTTGTACTTGGAACAACATGGCCGATGGTTCCCCTTATCGCAACTAAATTGCTTTGACCTTGTGCCACATCACTTGAAGCAGTAGAAATAATTTTCGCTAACCTGAAATCTCCAATATGGGCTGTCATCTCATCATCCAAAAGAACATTGCTTGGTTTTAGATCACCATGAATAATTGCTGACTCACAACCACAACGAAGATACTCAAGTGCAGATGGATTAGTTTAAGATTTCTAGGATTTTCTAGTTGCTCATGGTCTCCAACGCCGACTTGATGCAACCAATTTCCCAAGTTTCCATTGCCCATAAATTCATATACTAGAGCTTTCAATTCATTACCATGGAAATCCAAACTGGAACAAACGCACAAAATTTTCAATAGATTTCGGTGTCTTTTGGCTCTTAGTGCCTTGCATTCTGACATAAAGCTCTTAGAAGCTCCTCTAGTCTGAAGATTGAGCACTTTCACTACAACAACCATCTGAACGTGATCAAGAATTCCTTTCTAAACTGAAGCATAGCTCCCAACACCAATTAGATTAGCCTCTGAGAATCCATTGGTGGCTTTGAGAAGCTCTACATAAGACACCTTCAAAAATTGCTGTTTGATTGATTGCATGCTAGAGGTCTTCTTTTTTGAAATGCCGTTGAAGAAATATAAAGAAACTAACAAACAAAGATAAAAATGTCACAAGACCAACCACCACTAGGATAACTTTCATCCTGTGAGATAGCTTATTCTTGCATGATTTGGAGGATGGACAAGGAGGAAGGTCTAATTCTGGAATACCTCCGCATAGCTCATTATTTCCAACAATTGAAATTGTACTCCCATTTTGAAACACTCCTTGTATTGAAACTTGTCCATGTAGCATATTAAAAGACAAATTCAACATATCTAGTTGAAGCTAACCTAGATAACTTGGGATCACGCCCGACAAATTGTTGTGCGAAAGATCCAACACTCTTAAACCCCTCATCAATCTTAAACTTTGAGGTATCTCTCCCTCAAATGAATTAGCCTCCAAGTGAAGCCATTCCATACTCAAACAATTGCTTAGAGTGTTTGGTATGGGTCCTGATAATTTAATATTGGACACATCCATGTTTGCAAGATTTTTCAAAGACCCGATTTCTGATGGAAGAAAACCGGTTAGTGCATTGTGATCTAACATGAGGGATGTTGAAATGGAGGAGAGACTCAATTTCAGGGGGCACTACAAGAATTCACACATTTGCCGACCACTTTTATCGACCAAAAAAATTTTGGTCACAAAAAAATGACATTTCGCAACCAAATATTAATTAGTCGCGAATGATCAATATTTTTGGCGACCAAATATGAGTTGGTCGCAGAAGGTCACATTTTGGCGACCAAACTTGAGTTAGTCGCAGAAATTGGTATGCTTTTGGCGACCAACTACAAATTTGGTCGCGGAATGTCACATTTTGCCGACCAAAAATAAATTAGTCGCGAAATGAGTATTTTTAGCAACAAATATTTTAGTCACCGTTGATTAAGATTTGGCGACTAAAGAAGTTTGTCGGCGAAGGTACCTTTTCTGTGACTAATCTGGTCTTTTGGTCGCTAAAAGTTTGGGAGGAAAATTTGAAAGTCTGTCCAGGCGGGAATTGAATTTTTTTGGCGACAAAAAAATTTGGTCGCCATTTTTAAAACGACGTCGTTTTGTACCAGGAAAATAGAAAAAAAAAACAAAAAAAACAAAAAAAACAAAAAGAAAACAAAACCCTAATCTCTTCTGTATCCAGCCCGCTCTCTGTGTCTATGTTGGTCTGCCCTCTCCCTCTCTCTGTGTTCTCTCTCTCAATCAGTGCCCACTCTATGTAGCTTACCGAAGTCCCTCACCACCATTGCTCACGTCCGTCGCACATCGCCACCGCCGGAAATCGCCATCGCCCTCTGTCTAATGGACTCCTCATTTCTAGAAGATCCTCACCCAATCTCACCTCATCTCAGACCACCGTCGCACGCCACTGCTAGCGCCACCGCCGCCGCCGCATCCTCTCGGTCTGTCTGTCTGTCTCTCTCTGTTTCTCGCTCTCTCCCTCTCTGGCCTTTGGCCTCGGTCTCTCTCTGTCTCTGTATATATATATATATAATGCGGTGATCATCCGCACGGAGAGAGGGATTTGAGCCCTGATTGATGATTTTGAAGAGGTTTGTCATGATTTTGCGGTATGATTTTGATTTTGAAGAGGGTTTTTCGCGATCTGGGTCGTGGTTCAATCCCCTGTTCGGTTCGAATCTCAGTAAGTTTGAGTTCAGTTCTGTGTTTTTTAAGTGATGTGGATGATGGCTAATTGAAATGGGATAATTTGATTTTTATTTGTTGTTTCACAGTTTCAATCTACAAACATGCATGCCAATCACTTGCTTCTCGAAGAGCCTATCAGGATGGCCTCCATTCTCGAGCCATCTAGAGTCGTAAGTTCCATTTTTTTCTTCTTCTCAATTTCAGTGTCGATCTATACATCTTTGTGTATGTATATATATATATGATTGTGACTTTGATTTGGAACTTGTGCGATGTTTATTGATTTCACCGAATTTCTTCCCCGCAATGACAAAGATCGTTGGGACTTTGGGCCCCAGGTCTCGATCTGTTGAGGTCATCTCTGGTTGCCTTAGAGCTGGAATGTCTGGTATTATAAATTTTCTCTGTAAATATTTGTATTTGTGTGTTACAATTGTTGCATATCTTTGATCTTGTGTGGAACAGGGTTTTGATTTTACTTTGAAGTTTGGGGGATTTGAGTAATGATTTGTGAATGTGTGGTTTGCAGTGGCTTGATTCGACTTTTCGTTGGGGGATCCTGAGTATCACCAAGAGACTTTGGAAAACTTGAGGGCTGCTGTGAAGACCACTAATAAGCTTTGTGCTGTATGTGTTTATATATATGGGGTTTTTATTAATTAAAGTTTGTTACATTCTTGATCTACAATCATTTATGCTCAGTTTGTTTGCATGGAAAATGTTTTGTATGAAAATTTTTTTCCTATGTTTGTTGGTGGTGGTGGGATGAAGGTGGCGGCTGCAGTGATGGTTGGCGGTGACCGTAGTGATGTTGGTGTGGCGGCGGCGGTGGTAGTGCGGAGAAACTTTTATCGCATTTTAAAATTGAAAAATATTTTCATGTTTGTTTTTTATTGACCATGAATATTTTTTTGTTGACTTTCGTATTTATTATACCAAACATCATAAAATAGTTTTGGAAACAGTTTTTTGCCCAAATAAACGGAGCTTTAATGAGCGTTCAGATTCATCTTGCTGGTGGTTTTGTGTTTTGCTTCTATTTTGTTTTTTGTATTTTTGTTTGCTTACTGATTTCACTTCCATCATATTTTTTTGTCAATTTTTATGATGGTTAGTTTTGTGTAGATTCCCATTTGGTTGCGGAGAAAACCGGGGGGGAAAAAAGAAGAGAGGAAACTGATCTTTTTGATTGCTGAAAAGAAAATTGAATTGGAATATGTTGTACAATGCTATTTTTGGCCTTTAGGCATTGGGCAACACAACTTAACTGATGGTTCTTGGCTTCAGTTTTTAGTTGGATTGTTCTAAATAATAATTGTTTTGAATAAAGTTTGTGTAGTTTCATTTATTTTCAAAAGAAGCAAATGGAACAGCAGTATGCAAAATAAGATTTGAGTTTGAGGAAATTTTTTGTTTTTCAGGTTATGCTAGATACAGTGGGTCATGAGTTGTAGGTTGTCAACACCATTGAGAAAACTATTTCACTTGAGGATGGTAAAGTTGTTCTAACACCTCATAATGGTCAGGAAGCCTCTCCTGAAGTGTTGCCTATCAACTTTTCTGGACTGGCAAAGGTATCAACATTTGCATCTCCCTGTCATTAATGCTAATAAATTTTCTTGCCTAGATTTTGAAGCGTAATAGATTGATGAAATTACATGAATAAATCAGAAAATGCATGTTGTTGGGTTGTCAAAATGTTTGAAAAAGGTTTATTTTGACTTTTTTTTTTTTTTGGTTTCAACTTCTGGTAGTTATTTTCCACTCAATTATGTCTTACAAAAAAACCCACTAAGAATTTGTATTTCTTGGTTGTTTAACAAATAGTTTCATCTTGTGCATATGCATGTATGTGTTTGAAGTTTGCAATGCATTAGGATGCTTCTTGAAACTTTCTCATTCAAATATAAATATTCTATTGTTGCCTCATATCTGTTGAGATTCTTACACGTGCATTTTGTTGAAGTTTGGGAGTGCAATTTGGGTTTATAATCAATAACTTTTTTTTTTAATACTAACATTAATTTTTTTGTCTAGTTATAAAAAATATGACTTGTAATTAATACTTTCTGTTGAATGGTAGTTACTTTGATTTCAAAAAATGCAAGTATGGCAGTGAACTTTTATTCTTGTCAGAATATTTGATACCATGCATGTGGGTCTCTTTTTAATATTATGTCAACTTCGTTGGAAGCATGCTTGATTACAAAATAATAATGTGGTACATTCTTGTAGAATTCTTATGATCGTCTCAGTTCAATCTCCATGCTAAAATGTTCTGATATGGTGCTAATATAGAAATCTTCTATCTGTCTTTCAACAGATTCAGTGGACCAATTCCACCTTCAATGGGGAATCTCTTTAATCTTTATTGGTTGGATCTGACTGGCAATAACCTTTCTAGAACCATCCCTGTCTCTAATGGGAGCACACCTTAAATTTTAGTTCTTACATTTGATTTTCTGTAAGAGACTGGCCTTACTTTCTGTTATAAAATTTTGGCTTGCTGGAGCATGTTTATAAATGGTTTGACTATCCAAACACTAAATCAGATTTGTAATTACCAGATGGTCATTCCTATCACATGGTCAGAGCTTTTATGTTCCTTCCAACATTTCTTGCTTCTGTTAAAAGTTACAAAAAATAGAGTATTTCTTTTCTTTTTGGCATGTATTCTATATTGATTTTTGGTTGATGGAAATAGGAGGCCAGGTGAAGTTTACACCAACAATTATCTAATCTTTTTTATTTAACTGCTGCAACACTTCACAATAAATACATTTACCCTAATATTTCATGTCTGCCCCATTTCTATTTGAAATATGTGTTTTTTTCTTCTTCTTCTTTCCCTTTTGTCTTTGTTTTATTTTCTTGGACAGAGAACTCTGTCCACTTTGAAGTTGCCTAGGGCTGTTGTTACTAACGGGCTATCCTCATCAGTCTCAGTTGATGAGTGCCCCTCAATTGATAATTCAGAGAGGACTGATGGAGGTGCCTTTGATGGAAGTGCCAGTCATATACAAAACAATGGGAGGCGGAGGCAAAAGGTTCAAGATCCTGCTCGAGATCTTTCAATTCAAGTATTGGAGAAATTCTCTCGTGTGACTAGATTTTCTGGGAAAGTCATAGTGATATTTTTGGCACTAATGAGAGGGGGACCCATAACCTGACTCCTCACGATTACCCTAGCAACGTGGCATCCATTATGTAGAAAAGGTTACTGAACAAATTCCTGTAACCAAAGATCCTTTGGAGGTAACCTTTTGTTTCATTCACTTTGTATATGTTTGTATACATTAATTGTGATTTACATTAGGAAATTATTTTTGCATTAAATTTTTTCTCTTGGTATTTTCTTTTTTGAAATGTTACCATACTTAATACAAGATTGCCAGGGTACAATTTGCTAGATCACAGATATAAATGCTTAAGTATGAGTAAATTTTCTCATCTTTCTTTTTCTTTTGAACTATGACTGGGTGTAGATATTATGCTGTTTATGCACTTCAACTGCATAATCTACTGGCTGGTGCTTTTGGTTTACATCTGTTCCAAATATTATTTGCAATAGGGTACAAACTATAGCATAGCCTTTTGCTGTTTGGACCATTAAAGTATATGTAGAGTATTTTTCTGCCTGCTAGTTTAGTTGCTCATTGGAGTGACAGTATATCGGATTGGATTATTCTTCAAAAGAAATGTAGAGTGTCCCCAAAATATTGCCATATTATATATTGGATTCTGAAATTTGGTCTCAAGTAAAGTGGGACAAGAATATGATCTTTATTCTCTTGGTTCAACACTCAAATTTCATTATTTCAGTTTAAAAAATCTAAATTTCTATTCTTGGATTGTCTGATACAGACATCTATCCTTGTTAAACAGAAAACACTGTATTGGAAAAGAAATGATGAAGCAGAAGCTGCCACCAATGTGGGAACTTTTGAGCTAATCAATTTTAAGGAGGTACCAAAACGAGCCTTTAGGTTTTGTTTATCTTTCTGGGTTTGTTCCCATTCAAATTTTTTTTACCTTCTTCAAGTATGAGCATAAGGTAACAGTGTCTAGTTAGTTTCCTGCCATTGCTTTTCATAATCCTTCAACAAATATGCAGTCACTCGAATTCGGCCTTTGTTATTTAAGCAGGCAAATGATGGTAGTAATTCATTCTTTTCTCTGCTTAGAAGTGATGTGTTACACATGAGAATGTGTCCTATTATCATTTTGATTTCTTCATATATATCAAGTTTGATGAGCAACAAAAGGATTTGAAAAGAGTAGGGATGTCTGTCTGGTTATGAAATGTTTTCGATATACCAGAAAATGCTAATTCGTTAGTGATTTATGTTTTGATACACATGAGCTGCCTATACGACAATGGACTCAAGATTATAAAGAATTTCTTGAATCAATTATGACAGGAAATGATAAAATTAAGGACCCATTTATCAAGGTATAATTAAGTTTGATTTCTTGAACTGATTTCTTAGTATATTATTAAGTTGTAGTATGTGAGGTGTTTGGAGTCTCACGATAGATTTTAATGGTTGCAGGATTATAGAGAGCACAACGATGACACCACCATACACTTTGAAGTTATTATGTCCGACGAGAACTTGATCATGGCAAAGCAAGAGGGCTTGCTAAAGAAATTTAAACTCACCACAACTATCAGCACAAGCAACATGCATCTGTTCGACCCAAAAGGCGTGATTAAGAAATATGAAACCCCTGAACAGAGTATGATTGTACTATACACCAGTTCAGATTAACCTCTAATCATGTATCAAATTCTCAGGTTATTTACAATTTAATTCTTTTGATTTGTAGTTCTTGAAGAATTCTTCCACGAATCAGAGGTCATCTGTCAAACTTAGGTATTTCCCCCCTTCTTCTTCTGATTCTACCGTTGTGGTTGACCTCCCTAGGAGGGAAAGTGTAGAAAGGTGGGAGGCTTGTTTAGTGGGGCATTTTTGGGTAGGAATCTGAATTTTAATTATGTCAAAAATTTTGCTTTCAATCTGTGGTAAAATAAGGGGTTAAGGCAGGTGCTATCTACCTCAAATGGGTTCATCTTTTTCATGTTTGATGTCATGGTGTTCTTATTCTCTCTCTCTCTCTCTCTCTCTCTCTCTCTCTCTCTCTCTTTCTCTCTCTCTCTCTCTCATTTCAACTTTCTAATTATGTTTTCTTGAATACTCTTTGGATATTGGAAGCTAAATTTTATTTTTTTGTTATTGTTAGGTGTGAGGTTCACATCTTATCATGGGAATTTTATGCTTAGGTCCACTGATTTATTAGCGCTTCCAGCTGTAGACTGTGATAAAGCTTACGCAATGCAGATGGGTCTTGAAGAAACATTATTGACCACTCAGACTGTATATTTCCAAGTTGCTTTGTTGTATCCTTTAGCTGATGCATAAGAAATTCAAGCATGCTTCTCTTGGCGTGTGGCAGATGCCTTTTGGAAATTTGCTTATTATAGAAACTTCTTGGTTTCATTTTCAATTTTTCATGCCTTCACAAAGCTAAAGAAATACTTGGTTATAATTTTTCTTATTGCTAAGCCATTTGCTCATGTAGGATGGTCATGACCACCCAATGCATAAGGTCCTTTTTAACCTTGACATCTGTACAGGACATCTTTTTTCTGCCGTTTGGGCTATTTTGACAATCATGACAAATGTCTTTCAGAGAGACCTCTCTGATGTGCTCCAGGATGCTTCAGGCCAAACATTTTAACTGAGCGTGAAGTGAATTCCTATCTTGGACCACTGTTACGTCCATATATAATTTTATGTCTACTTGATTTTCACTTGGATATCATCTCTTATTATGTAACTTTTCTTAGTTACTCTGCTTTCGAGATTGTGGAAGGAGTTCCATGAGTTTTGTTTTGTTCAGAATGTGCATTTGCCTGACCATGTTGAATTGTATGGCATCTTTTATGGGTGGACTACATTACAAATGACTTTCCTTAACCATCAACAGATACACTTCATCTTCTGGAGAGAGGCGTATTAGAGTGCATACTGCAGCAGCACCAGTGGTTGCAGATCTAGGAGAGATGTATCGGCATGCTGATACTGGATTATGTGGTTTGAATTGTGGTTTGGTGTAATGAATTAGGATACTACTATAGTGGTTTGAATTGTGTTCCCTTTTTCTCCTTTGTTTTATTCCCTTCTTCTTCAGGTTATTTTATGCCACATAGACTGTAGTTGCTTTGTATGCTACATGGACTCTTCTAAATTTGTGAAGTACATCTAGCGATACTTAGAAGGCCTTTTTTTTTTTTCCTGCTGCTTTTCTTATGTACTGTAATTGACCTCCCCTGATGCTGAATTCATTCTTCCTTTTTTTTTTGGGTTAAATCTTGAAAATCAAGTTAATCTGTGTGAGTGTGATACTGAAATGCCAAGAAAGTTGATGAGGATACTGAAGAAATTAAGGGAGGAAGATCCTGCATATTATCAGCTGTGTCACCTTGTAAGACACAGTGAACAACCAAGAGAAGGTTTCTTTTTCCTTACAAACCTAGTTGAGGACCAAGTTGGTGGTATGAATGGCTATGTGGACTAGATTATGCAAATACACCGACAAGTGCAACAAAATGCATAATACATAGGTAAGAACGAGTTGTTCACTGGTCGCTTAGATGTTTGGATGATGCATTTGATTGTGTTCTATCAGAAATATGTTAAATGCAAACCTGTATCCACTACAAGAATTAACACTTTTGCCGACTAAATTTTTAGTCGGCAAAAGTCCATTTTTAGTCGGCAAAAGTCATCCGCGACTAATTTTTTTGGTCGCCACGTTGGTCGCCAATTGAGGGTCGCGGAAAGTAATTAGCGACTAAAAAGTTTTTTAGTCGCGAAAAGTCATATTTGCCGACTAAATTTTTGGTCGCTAAATATATAATTACTCCGACTAATCCATTTAGTAGCTAAAACATTTTAGTCGCAAAAAGTCATATTTGCCGACTAAATTTTTGGTCGCTAAATATATAATTACTCCGACTAATCCATTTAGTAGCTAAAACATTTTAGTCGCAAAAAGTCATATTTGCCGACTAAATTTTTGGTCGCTAAATATATAATTACTCCGACTAATCCATTTAGTAGCTAAAACATTTTAGTCGCAAAAAGTCATATTTGCCGACTAAATTTTTGGTCGCTAAATATATAATTACTCCGACTAATCCATTTAGTAGCTAAAACATTTTAGTCGCAAAAAGTCATATTTGCCGACTAAATTTTTGGTCGCTAAATATATAATTACTCCGACTAATCCATTTAGTAGCTAAAACATTTTAGTCGCAAAAAGTCATATTTGCCGACTAAATTTTTGGTCGCTAAATATATAATTACTCCGACTAATCCATTTAGTAGCTAAAACATTTTAGTCGCAAAAAGTCATATTTGCCGACTAAATTTTTGGTCGCTAAATATATAATTACTCCGACTAATCCATTTAGTAGCTAAAACATTTTAGTCGCAAAAAGTCATATTTGCCGACTAAATTTTTGGTCGCTAAATATATAATTACTCCGACTAATCCATTTAGTAGCTAAAACATTTTAGTCGCAAAAAGTCATATTTGCCGACTAATTTTTTTAATGTGAAATCAAAATGTTTATTGCAGAAGGACCTTTGGCTCAGTGCTTGACATAATACCCCTTGCGGATTCCATAACCAAACTGACAGCTCGGTGCGAGCTCTGTGGCAAGCGGGTTTTTTTTACCTTAAGGAAGACTAATGAGACAAAGACTGAGCTGATTGGTGGTTCTAATGTCTATATGCCTGTCTGCCGCCAGCACTATGTCAATGGGCAGGTTGTCATCGAATCAGCATGGGATACTCTGGAATCTTGTAGTAAAGCACAAATGGACTTTTATCAGGAGGAAGTTGCAGTTGCTTAGAAACATATCTAGCTTATTCACAGCCTAATAGTTTTTTGGGCTATTTGTATTTTAGTCAAGGCGTTTGCATAACATCTTGAATTTGGAATTTGCAATGTTTCTATGGTACCTTCTCATATGTATATATAGAAAGTTTATTTTATATTGTATCAATATTTAGCACTTGAGTACTTCTAGTTTGTGTTTTAAAGATGGCAAAGAAGATGGTGATGCAGGCATGCAGCTGATCTGTGATGAATGTGAATAGAAATGTTATTAATAGATAATTGTGCATTGTTTTCTATCAAATATTTCAAAGATTACAGGGATGTGATGAATCATTGTGTCATTCACATCATGGATGATGTTTTAAAATTATAGGTTTATTATGGATTGAATGAATTATTAGGAATTACAGGTGTATTGTTTTCCTGCTTTTGGCGACCAATTTATTAGTCGGGACAAAAAAATAATTTTTTTTTTTTGCAAAAAATGACAATTGCCGACCAAGAGTTTTGGTCGCAAAAATACATCCATTGCCGATCAAAATAGCTCTTGGTCGTGGAATCTCACTTTTGCCGACCAAAAGTTTTGGTCGAGAAAAGTAACAAATGGCGACCAAATTTTTTGGTTGTGGAATGTCACAATTGGCAACCAAACTTTTTGGTCATTGAATGTGATAATTGGCGACCAAACTTTTTGGTCGCGAAATGTGTCAATTGGCGACTAAGATATTTGGTCAGGAAAATATCTCTTTTTGCGACCAAAGTGTTTTAGCGACAAAATGAATTAGTCTCGGTAATTAAATATTTAGCGACAAAAAATTTAGTCGGCAAATCCAACTTTTGCCGACCAACCAAAATTTTGGTCGCGAATTACTTTTGCCGACCCTCAATTTTGCCGACCAAAAATGGGCTTTTAGCGACCAATTTTTTGGTCGGCAAAAGTGTTAATTCTTGTAGTGGGGTATTGAACCATTGAAATTATTTTTATAAAGGCCTAATTCCAACAACCTATGACAATTGCCCAAAGTCGGAGGTATGCTTCCATGGATGTTGTTTTCTCCCAAGTTGAGAGTAATCAACGAAGTCAAATTACCAATTGAAGATGGAAGTTCTGTGAATTTGTTCTGGTCTAACATCAGAACTTGCAGCTTATGAAGTCTGCCAATGGAGGACGGAATAGGGCCAACAAGATTGTTCACTGCCACAGATAAGACACTGAGGTTGAGGAGGTTCCCGATGCCTGAAGGAATGCTTCCATGTATTTGATTAAACCTCAAATCTATCCAGATAAGATATGTGGAGAGATTAGCTATGGAGTCAGGCAACGAACCTCTAAAAAGATTGTAACCCGCACCAATGGATTGTAAACTGGTGCAATTTGTTAGAGATGAAATAAAAGTGAGGTCATCCTGCAACCGATTTTGGAAAACACCTATCCGTCGAAGACCCAGAAGTTTTCCAAGATCTCTCGGCATTGTCCCGCTGAAATCATTTGCAGGGAAGAATATATCTTCAAGTTCTGAAGCGTTTGACAGTGAAGTAGGAAGTGTTCCAGTAAACAAATTTTGCAAAAAATAAAGAAACTTGAGATTAGGAAGTGTGGAGCCTATATCAGGAGGAATATTTCCTTCAAGTAGGTTAACACTTACTGATAACAAAATGATGGTGGAGATATTTTGTAAAGGCCAGATGGAACCTGGCCAGATAGGTTATTCCCCCTTAACCAGACAAGTATCAGGCCTTGAAGCCTAGCAATTTCCGCCAGAATCTTCCCATGCAAATTACATTCCGATAAAGAGAGAATGGAAAGAAATGAGAGGTTTCCAATGAAAGGAGGGATGGTTCCTGAAAGCTTGTTTTTACTCAAGGCTAAAGTCCCAAGCCTTGACAAAGAGCCCAACTCGGCTGGGATGATTCCGGTTAGGTTGTTGCCGACCAAGTTCAGCCATTCAAGTTTTGAGCAGCGAGAAAGGTTGTTGGGTATTCCACCGCCAAACGAATTGTTGCTGAATTCTAATCTTTGTAGCCGAAACAAGCGACCCATCTCTTGTGGGATTGGGCCGTGGAAGCTATTGTTTTGAAGAACAATACTTTTGAGGAAGGAGAGGTTTCCCATATGAGGTGAGAGCGATCCAACTAGGCCTTGGAACATTAGAGTTAGCCCAATAACTCTATCTGGATGTAGACGACTACACAAAATGCCGTTCCAGTGGCAGTAGTGGAGTAAATGATTCCAGGAAGAGAGGGCACCAAATGGGTCTTCAACAATTGCAGCCTTGAAGGCGAGCAATGCAACTCTATCTGTCTCATTATTTGCCGTAGAAGTGGCAGCAGGGATACTGCAGAAATAGCAACACCACACAAGGGCAGAGCAGAGCAGAGCACAGTAAGCCACTTTGACATGATTTTTTTTGTAATGGATGAATTGATTATTTCATCAAGGTAGTATATAATATAGTATAATATGAAATTTCCTAGGCTTTTTTTTTCAAATAAGTTTTATTATTTAATATTATTTTATCTTCTTAAAATGTGAACCGTTAAAGGAAAAAAGTTTGTTGCTACAGAGACTGAAAAACTGGAGTTGAAGGTTACAGGAGGCCAATAGGATGAGCAAGGATCCTCTAGAGTTTTTTTTTCCCAAAGTTTCTTAGAGTGGTGTATTGTGTGGTTGAAATCTAATGACAAGTCACATCAATTTTTCAACATTAAATATCAACTACATAATACAGCACTTTAGAAACTTTAGGAAAAAAACACTTTAGAGGATCCTTAGTGCAATAGGATGGAATGTTTGATTATACTCAACATTATTTGAATTATGATCAATTTGATTAATTTGAATTTTTATATAAATAATCTAGAAGAAATTATTAAAAAAGTTTGACCATCCTAACAAAATAAATTCTAATTTTTTTAATGTTGTCAATTTAAACTTTGATAGTTTGATTTGTTTTCAATTTATACCATTTGTTTATTTTCGTTCAATAAAACTGATAAAAAAGAGTATTTTAGTCATTAAATTTAATATAGATATACATAAAATGTCTAAAATATTTCTTTCCGTTAACTTTAATGATTCAAATACTATTTTTTCATTAGATTTACTTAACAAAAATTAACATATGATTTAGATTGAAAAAAAAATTAAAAGATTAAAATTTAAAATAATTTTTCTAATAATCCATTAAAAGACACTAAGATTTTGTTTGTTTCGACGTAAAATATTTTTGTCAAAAATATTTTACTCATTTTCGTTGTTTGGTTGAACAAAAATCAAGTAAAACATTTTTTTAAGGTACAAATTGGTTTGATAATTTAAATTTTTACAAATTTTGAACATAATATAACAACTTATCAATATTTTTTTGGGATAACAATCCAACAACTCAGCATAACCACAAGATTATCAAGTAAATTATTAAATATCTATAATAAATACATATAAGAAAATTATGCATTATCAAAACTATTTCATTACTTTTTTTTATTCAAAAACTATTTAATTTTAAAACAAAATGACAAAATTAAGCCTTATATTTTTCACACAAAAATACCAAATATCAACACTTGTCATTTGATAAAAAGATTTCTAAATTGAAAATATAACAAAATATATAAATTCTTTTTCAATTGAAAACACAAACAGAATATCTAAATAAATTGAAAACACAAAATCTTACAAATTACTAGAAATACCTGCGGTTTTGGCGGTTCAATTGCGGTCAAAGCAATCTCAAATCCATCATCTGTCCAAAACTAGACGGATTGAAAAAAATAAATCCGCAATGGTCTACTCGTTATCACGCATCTATCCAAAATGCGGCTGATCGGTTTTATCCAATTTGTTTGGGTGGATCGGAATATCTCACCGCTACTCAATTTTATGTCTTCCGGGTCTTAATTTAGGCTCCGTTTGTTTCGACGTAAAATATTTTTGTCAATTTTACTTATTTTCTGTGATTTAGTTGAACAAAAATCAAGTAAAACATTTTTTTAAGGAAAATATGTTTTCATCATTTTCTCAAAAATGACTTACCCTTTAAAATTTTGCAAGTCAATTTTATAAAATTGACTCTTATTCACTACATTTCTAACATATTTAGCCTTTTTCAAATAAATATCTTAACTCACTAAAAAAAAATCATAAATGACACTTTATTGAATCAAAATTTCTCTTTTAAGTAATAAAATGTTTTTGTTTCAAATGTCAATCAAATGCCAAAAAATAAAAATAAAAATATTTTTTTATATATAAACAATTTACAAGAAAAATATTTTGTGTAAAATATTTTACATTGAAACACATGGAGCCTAAAACTTAATGACCCAAATAAATCCATATCTAGACCCACCAATCGAAGACTTGGGTAAAGGTCAAAAGATGGCAAAAAGAAGGAAATTAATGTTCAGAGTAGCCCAAGAAAGACTGGTATTTTTTTTTAGGTACATCGAAAAGGAGAATGACCGGTATCATCAATAAATATATATAGAATATCACTCATACATAGGCAGAAAGACTCAAACGACTAACCTCTCCTTGTAAGACATAAAGGTTCGTCTAGTTGGCTATCGCAATTTCTAAAAATATTTTGCATTAGGAATGGATTTTGATGATGGCTTTCTAAATCTTCAAGCATCTAACTCAAAATCAATTAAAAATGAGTGAAATAGCTTCTAGATATTTAGACCAAGTTTGAGTAACGTGTAAAGATGATGTGGAAGTGATTGAGAAATAAGATATGAAAGATTAGACTTGATCGGAGACTTAAACCACTAGAGACAACTTCAGATTCAATTAACATCTAACTCAAAATCAATTGATAATGAATAACGTTGTAGTATTTAGATCAAGCTTGGGTGGCTTAAGGAGAGGATATGAGACAAATCTAATACTAAATTTTGGCTTTCACAAATATTTTGACACACCATATATACTCATAATAAAATCTTAAATAAGGACTGCCAACAAAATATGAGGTTAGTAAATACAAAAGTGTCACAACGGTATATATTCTCCAACCACCACACACTCTTAGTTGGAACATCTCGCATGAACACATTGTTGATATATAATATAGTCAAACATAATAAAATCTCAAATAATCACTGCCAACAAAATAAGAGGTTAGTAAATACAAAAGTGTCACTGTACGGGGAGCGAATATCCGATACTACCCGTACTCCTCACGTCCAAGCTGCGCCTTCCTCCGATCGACCTGCGAACACAACGAAGGTGAGCTACCCGGCGGTGCGCTGCCAGGAAACCCCTCCGACGGTCAAGTTAGCACACACTCAGAGAGAGAAAGAAGAGAGAGAAGACAATGTTTTAGTGTTTTTCTCACCAGAAGATGTTCCATCCCTACCATGGGGGGCGCAGTCATGCTTATATACCTTCTGCGCATGCCTCTGCATCTATTCACCTTCTGACGTGTGGACCTGCTCTCCTATCCTGTTTCCCCACGTGTCAGCGCAAATTCAGCTAAACGCCACCTAATCAAACTGCCAAACGGCGTTGGTGCGAATGGGAAGCTCGGCAGTGCTGACCTAGCTGAGCTCCTAGCCGAGCTCCATCATGACCGAGCTTAATAGTCATCCGTTATGATCGAGATTCCGCTCGGTAGGGCCGGTCTGCGGAGGATCCCACTCGCCGAGCTAAATGAGTGAACAATAGAAGCCGGGCTGGCAAAGGATCATCTCGGCCAAATCTGGTCTGGACTTCAACCGAGCAAACTCCACCTAGAATGGCCCAGCCCAGCTCGGCCCAAACACGCTCGAACCACCTTCTGCCGGTTAACACCGCGGCCCAAGGCCAGATTATGAAATCTCCCTCTCAATTGCCCCTTAATTCCGTCCACGCTAGCGTGACTGGGATTACGTGCTCTAGCTGTGGTCGTTCCTCTGCTCGCAACTCATTAACCGCGTTAATCCCCATGCTCGGTCTCTTGACTTGCTCAGTTGGCACCTCGACTTACCAACCTGTCTTTTCAGTACTGATGCCGCCGTCATTACAGACACGCGTCATTCACTCATTGGCCTCAAACAGCCAACCCAGCCATCTCTTGCTGTTAGGTTCTAGATAGTGAATTCACTAAGGTACCAAACCAATTCTCTTCATCATTCATCTCATTCTCCTTCTTGTCCTATTCATCTTCACCAACAAAACCACTCTGTGATCAAGAGCTCTTGCCCTCACTCATCCTATTAAGATCAGAGCATCCACGCGAGCACGTTCAATACCTTCGCCGTCACTGAGGGCACCTGTCCCACTGCTTCGAGCCACCATTCGTGCCCTAGCTTGTAAGTTCTCAACCCTCCATTGCTCTTCATCTATTACACATGTTTTCTAGGCCTGTGATTGTCATAGTTGAGTTTAGGGTACGATGGCAATAAGTTTTAGGACCTCGCACAAAGTAAACTTAGGATGTAGCCCCCAAAAACCACCTATGTCCCTTCTCCCTCAACTGTTCATCATCTTTTGTGATGAGCACGCCGAGGATCTGGGATAGACCAAGCTCCAGGTCCTCATTCGATCCCAAAAAATACCAAAACCGAGCAAGTTGTAAGTTTGTGAAACTTGGGTGGGAACCGAGCTAACAGAATGCTAGACTGCTCGACCAGGCTAATATCTGGTCCGCTCGAGTGACCGGGCTTCTGGGCGTACCAATGTGACCAAGGTGCTGCAACACTTCCTATGTCCGAGCTAAAATCGAGCTCGTTTGCGCGACCACGCTGCCACTTACACTTGATTTTTACTGCAGAGTCCTAGGGGACCAGACACTAACACCAGGGCTCTCAAAGGCCAAGCACCCATCGCACGAAACTCCGCCAAACCATCATTGCCGTGCTGAAACAGGCCGGCTTCACATGGGGCATTAACGTTTCCTTGTTAACACACCGGGCGCACTAGCCGTGTTCCAAGAGGAGCATGGCGTCCCTGAAGACGTCCACCTCGAGCTCGGTGTAGAAGACACCACTCCTTGGGGTAGACTAGATCAATGCCCCTTCACCCTGCTGTCCACAATCGAGAGAGGTCTACGCTTCTCGGTTCAGCCTCTAATGTGCGAGTTCTTGAGGCGTATCGGGTTAGCGCCGACACAAGTTTCGACAAACACCTTCAGAATAATAAACGGGGTAGCCGAGCTAAATAACCGGCTTGGCCTGAACCTAGGATTGGCCAAGATACTGCACCAATACACCCTCGGGCACACAGCTGATGGGTTTAGCTATTATCTGAAAATTAGACCGGGCAAGGAAAAACTAGTAACTAACCGGCACCCCCGATAAAGATTTGCACGACGGCGACTTCTTTTGGGTGTCCGGGAATTATGAGACGACTGATGTGCCTGGCTGGTACATCAGCAAAAACTTCGGTTCGACATGTAAGCTGTGCTCACTGACCGATCAAATTGTTTTCCTTTATTATTTTGTACTAATTGCTCTTTTTTTTGCAGCTATCGAAGCCCTACAAGCGAATTGCTTCAACCCAGACAAGGCTACCATCAGAGTCATGCTGTAGTATCGCCACTGAGATTGGCACGACCTTCTCGGTTATGTACCGAACTATCGATACTTGGCTCCCCGCAGAAGTAGAGTCACAGACTTTCTACGAGCCCCATCCCCATCGCCTGATCTAACACTACCGGACATGCCACTAATCCAATTAACAGAGGAAGAGGAAATGGCCAAACGGAGCCGTATCAAGAATCTCATCACCACCACGTCAACCGAGTTACCGAGCATCCCCCCTGCGCCCCAACCACCGGACAAACTTTTGGTACCGTAATTGCCGTGACGTCTACCACTACAGTGCCAGCCAACAAAGAAAGTCGTCGAGCGGGAAAAAGGCCTCGTTCTGCTAACCTAACAACTGAGCTTGTAGCCGAGTTGAGCATCGAGCAACCGGCGAAGGGATCCAAGCCAACCCCCCCATGGTAGCCACAGTTGAAGCACCGGGGTAAGGAGATCTCGGCCAATGCCTCAGTCAAAGGCGATAAAGAACATCTGCTGGCTTTTGACCTGACAAAAGCATTACTTCTGCCGAGCGATGTGACCGGCTGTGACCACGTGCCCGACACCCGACTCGTCAAGTCCTCAGTTAAATCCATGACCCGGGTAAGAGCTCTATACGTTTATTCAAATTTGTTCAAGTGTTTTCACAGTTATTCTTCTTATTCGAACTTTGTCCTCCTACAGGCCATCCAGAAGCAACATCTCGTGATGGACCGGATTCACAAGCTCCGACAAAAGGTGATCGATGCCTCCAATCAAGTCAAGAATCTGGAGACCGAGCTGGGGAGGTCTAAAGCTTCACTTGAAATGGCCAATGCTGACAACGCAAGACTCCTTGGCCAGCTCGGCAGGGCCGAGCAAGAGAGGGACGAGCTAAAAGCTCAATTCGCAGCCGAAAAAGAAGTGAAGAAGGCCGCCGTGAACGAGGCCAACAATCTCGGTTTCCAGGAGGCCGAGGACAACTACACCAAGTCAAAGTCACCAAGGACAATTATCTCAAGTCTGGTTGGAAGGCCGCTTATGAAAAACTCGGCCAAGGAGCGGAGACCGAGGTGTTTGCCTCCTCTGGCCTTCCTGCCGGTCTACCTGATTCCTTATGCCAACGAAGTCTTCAACGCTTTGCAAGAGGAGCTGGAAAAAGAAGCCGAGGATGAGGGTAGCCAGCAGAAGCTCGGTGAAAAGGAGAAGGCTGTTGTTGTTGACCTAGAGGCTGCGACAGAAGGAGCCGGGGATGAGTTTGCCGACCTCTCTCCGTTAGCATAGTTTAGACTTGTTCCTTTTGATTTCTGTTTGAGTTTTTGTAACCGGGCTACAAGCCCCACTTCATGTACCCTATTTTCCAATCAATGAAAAGTTCTTCTTTTGCTTGCATTGTTTGCCGTAGTTTTCCATTTAACCATGCTATTCTTTCCCGGCGTATTACGATTTGATTGAACCAAGAAAATTATCTCGGTCTTTAAAGACACGAAAATTATCTAGAATTGAATAGATCACTCTCTTCAACCCTTTAGCCGAGGTAAATCATCAGCCCTTTAGCCGAGGTAAATCATCTCGACTAAAACATCAGAGTTGAGCAAATCATCAACTCTCTTAGCCGGGGTAAATCATCTCGGCTAAACTTGCAAGGTTGAGTAAATCATCAACCCTTTTAGCCGGGGTAAATTATCTCAGCTAGAACATCAGAGTTGAGCAAATCATCAACTCTTTTAGCTGGGGTAAATCATCTCGGCTAAAACAATCAGCAACCCTTTTAGCCGGGCTAATTCATCTCGGTTAAAACCTTGGAGCAGATCAAATCGTCAACCCTTCTAGCCGGGGTAAATCATCTCAGCTTTACGTTCAGAGTTGAGGAAATCGTTGACTCTTTTAGCCGGGGTAAATCATCTCGGCTAAAACATCAGAGTTGAGCAAATTGTCAACTCTTTTAGCCCGGGTAAATCATCTCGACTAAAACCTCAGAATTGAGCAAACTATCAACTCTCTTAGCCGGGGTAAATCATCTCGGCTAAAACATTAGAGTTGAGCAAATCATCAACTTTCTTAGCCGAGGTAAATCATCTCGGCTAAACCTGCAGGGTTGAGCAAATCGTCAACCCTTTTAGCCAGGGTAAATCATCTCGGCTAGAACATCAGACTTGAGCAAATCATCAACTCTATCAGCCGGGGTAAATCATCTCAGCCTTTGGAAGCGTATGCCTCTCATTCACTACATTACTTCGAACACAACAAACTTCATAAGCACAAATAATTCATTTCTATTACATTGGCAAATGGAGTATTACATTCAGAAGTAAATGGGAACAAGTCCTTTCACAAAAAATTACATGTAAAAGACAAATACTAAAAGTAGTACAGTTTGAGGTTAGCCGCATTCTACGGCCGGGGTACGCTTTTGCCATCCAAGTCCTCTAAGTAGTACGCCCTTTTGCTCACCAGACCGATTATCCTGTAAGGCCCTTTCCAGTTTGCCCCTAGCTTGCCTTCGCCCGGAACCAGTGTGTTGCCCATCACCTTCCTTAAAACCCAGTCCCTGACTTTAAACGGTCTGGGGTGCACTGTTTTGTTGTACTTCCTGGACAATTCCTGTTGGTATGCAGCCACGTGGATTAACGCCTTTTCTCGGTGTTCGTCAGCTAGGTCCAATTCTAGGGCGATGGCTTCAGAGTTCAACTCGAGCTCAAAATTTTTGCTGCCAATGGTGGGCATGCCAATTTCCAAAGAAATGACCGCCTCCATGCCATATGCTAGGGCAAAAGGGGTTTCCCAGTCGAGCATCTCGGGGTCGTCCGATATGCCCAGAGGACACTAGAGAGTTCCTCGGCCCATTTTCCTTTGGCTTTCTCTAGCCTTTTCTTCAATCCATTGAGAATGGTCTTGTTTTATACTTCGACTTGGCCGTTAGACTGCGGGTAGACCGAGGTGGAAATGTATAATTTTATCTTCAATTCTCACAAAATCCTCTAAACAAGCGCCTGCCAAATTGGGTGCCATTATCAGAAATCAGAGCCTTGGGGACGCCAAACCGCGTTATCACATTCTGCTAAACAAATCGTTTGATATCCTTCTCTTTGATGGTCGCTAAGGGCTCAGCTTCAACCCATTTGGTGAAGTAATCTGTTGCAGCAATGAAGAACTTCTGATTGCCTGGCGCTGTTGGGAGTTGTCCCACTATGTCCAGTCCCCACATTGCGAAAGGCCAAGGACTTGTGAAGGGAAGAAGTTCTTTGGCCGGCTGGTGAATTTAGTGGGCGAACTTCTGGCACTTTTTACATTTTCTAACATATTTCTGCGTGTCTGCTTGAATGCACGGCCACCAGTATCTTTGAGAAATAGCACAGTAAGCCAATGATCTCCTCCCGATGTGACTTCCGCACATGCCTTCGTGGATCTCATAAAGGAAAGCTTCCACGCTGTTTGGATAAATGCACTTGAGGTACAGACCGGTGAATGGCTTCTTATATAAAGCGCCAGATGGAGAGAGCCAAAACCACTCTGACTTTACCTGGACTTTATGTGCTTCCTTTTTATCAGCCAGAAGGGTCCGTTCTTTCAAGAAGAGGATAATGGAGTCTATCCAAGAGGGACTATGCTCTGTGCAGAATTCTTCGGTCTGCTTTGAGTTCTCAATACTAGGTCTTGGAAGAAACTCAATCAGGAGAGGATTGGGAGTTGAACTGTCGAACATGAAAGCTAGACCGGCCAACTCGTCTGCTCGGCCATTTTCTTCACGCCCAATTTGTTGGACCCTTATCGCTTGGAATGCCTTGATGTGTTCTCGCACTAGAGCTTGGTACTTGTCCATTCTATCATCTTTGGCTTCGTACACTCCAGACACCTGGTTGACAACAAGTTGGGAGTCGCTGTAGACCATCAGCTCGGATGCGTGCAAGTGGAGCGCACTTTTAAGTCCGGCCAATAGTGCTTCGTACTCAGCCTCATTGTTTGATGCTGGGAATCCAGGTGTGATAGAGTGTTCGATGGTTAGACCGTCCGACGAGATCAAAACTATGCCCAGTCCGGCACCATGCCAATTTGAGGCGCCATCTACCAAAAGTTTTCACATTTCGCCAATGAAAATTTTCCAACACTCTGAGGGTTCCTAGGAGGCTTGAAGGTTGATGGGATCACGATCGTTCAGCTGCCCGGGTATGTACGCTACAGGCTCGCCGTTGATTATTTCAACAGACATGTCTTCATCCCCCCTCGGCGATGCTACGCCGGACCCAACAGGTTGATCTGTCATTCCCAAGTCCATCGTCGCATCATCAGTCTGAGGTACACTTCCGACTAAAGGTTTTGCGGTCGGGCGCGCAAGTTCCGCATCACCAATATCACTCCGTTGTGCAATTTTCGTTGTGCTTAAATTTTCCACCCCAGCTACCGAAGTAAGATCCACAAGGCATACCGGATGAATTCCTGGTGAGAATTTAGCAACAAAGTCGGCTAATGCTTGGGCTTTGATGGCGGTGCAGGGTTAAAACTTGACGTTGAATTGCCCCAGTTCGACTGCCTCAGAATTCATCCAGAGAAGTCCACCCGCTCAAATAAGGCTTTTAGAGGGAATTCGGTCAACACCACGATTGTGTGAGCATGAAAGTAGTGCGCCAATTTCCTGGAGGCCATCATTAGCGCCAAAGCAAGTTTTTCCAGCGGCAAGTACCTCGACCCTGCTGGTAACATGGTTTTGCTCATGTAAACGATAGGGAGATGTTGGGTGCCTTCTGCCTGGACAAGCATCGCACTAATTACATTTTGAGAAACAGCCAGATAAAGGTCGAGCTCTTCACCGAGCTTGGGTGTTACCAAGAGTGGAGCGGCAGACAAATATGCCTTGAGCTCGGCCAAGGCCCTGTCACATTCCTCATCCTATGAAAGCTTGGATTTCAAGGCTCGAAAGAAAGGGTGGCAACGATCGGATGGCCGACTTATGAATCGATTAAGCGCGGCTGCTGTACCGGCAAGATGTTGCCCGTCCTTTGTCGAGTTGGGCTGCTTCAATTCTTGTATGGCTCTGATTTGTGAGGGGTCCGCTTCAATGCATTGGTTGGTGACTAGGAAGCCCAGGAATTTCCCTGACCCCACACCGAAGGCACACTTTGACACATTTAGGTGAAGCTTGTGTTGTTTAAGAATGACGAACATCTCGGCTAAGTCAGACAAGTGGTTGGCTTGCTGCTTGCTTTTGACCACCATGTCGTCGATGTAAGCCTCCATCGTGCGGCCTAGCAGAGGGGCGAACATCTTAGTCACCATTCTCTGGAAAGTTGCCCCGGCGTTCTTCAAATCAAAATGCATTACTCAATAGCAGAACAATCCCCTCGGGGTTATGAAAAGAGGTTATCTAGCGATCGAGTGCATGAATGGCGATCTGGTGATAACCACGATAGGCATCTAAGAAACTGAACTGACGGTGTCCAACTGTAAGATCCACCAGTTGATCTATCCTGAGCAGATGAGAGCTGTCTTTAGGGCAAGCTTGGTTGACCGTCTTGTAATCAACGCAAACTCGCCATATCCCATTCTTCTTGGGTACTACGATCGTGTTCGAAACTCACCGAGGGTAGTGCACTTCCTAGATCGCCCTAGCTTCGCGCAGGTTCTTGACTTCCTTTGCGACTACCTCAGCGTGGTGAAGGGCTGTTCTCCTCATTTTTTGAATGACAGGACGCGGATCCTGGAAGACATTGAGTTAGTGGCAAATAAAGCTTGGATCAATGCCAGGCATGTCGTATGGCGTTCATGCAAAGACTTCGATATTCGCCATCAAGAACTCCACCATCTCAGCCCTTTCCTGGGCGGTCAGGCTAGATCCCAACAAAAAAAACCTATCAGGCTTTTCTGTGTCGATCCGCACCTCCACCAACTCTTCGATAGCCTTTTCCTCGGGCCTAGTGCCCACGTCATCCAGGACGCTTTGGTCTTCCGGGCCTTCGATCATTTGCATGAAGCCTTTGGCTGCTTGGCTTCTATTCACTGCCACAAAACATTACTTCGCCATGACTTAATCGCCCCAAATCTCCTTAACTTCCCCAGTAGCTGAGGGGAACCTTATGACCTGGTGGTAGGTTGACGCTACCACCTACGCACCGTGAAGCCATCCCCTACCAAGGATCAGATTGTATATGGATGGCACCTTCAATATCCAGAACTCCATCTGCTTGACCACAGATCCGGCTTTGACCGATAGGATTATCTTTTCCATTGGCCACTCTGGTTGTGAGTTAAAACCAACGAGCGGCGAAGTTTCCAGAGCCAAGTCTGTATCTCGGAGTTTGAGCTTCTTGAAGGCGTTGTAGTACATGATCTCGACCGAGCTGCCTTGGTCGATTAGGACGCGCATAACATTGAAGTCCCTGGAATGTGCTCAAGATCCCTACTCAAGAAGCTTACCACATTTTTCTCCTCGGACTTGCCTCTTTTGACAGCGAGCTGGACTGACAAAACTTCCCTCATAAGCTCCGCCTTTTTAATCATACCTCGGAGCTCACATACCCACGTCGACTCTACTATACCGCGAATCACATTGACCACTCCTTGGAGGGGTGTTTCCAGGTCATCTGAACCACTTGGCTCAACCGGTGCGTGGTGCGCGGCTCTGATGCCCCCATCGATGTAACTGTCCAAGTGACTGGCTGCGACTAGCTCCTCCAAGTGTTTCTTTAAGGGAAAACAATCCTTCGTCTGGTGCCCTCGCTCCCTATGAAATGTGCAGCGGTACCGCGGATTGAAACCCTTTTGCGCATCGCCCAACTTAGCGGGAAACTAGACGTAAACCTCATCGCAGATTTTACTAAGTATGCGGTAGGTTGGAATTTTAAAAACCGTGATGATGCCCGTCCGAGCGTTCAACTTTCTGTTTACATTTGCCGTGTCATCGCGGGGATATTCAGCTCGGTCATTGCGGTGACGTTTACCCCGGTTCCTACGATCCGGACCACAATCGGATTCCCTTGCGCGGTCACTTGGACGGTTTGTCTCCTGTCCGACCGCGTGTACTTTTTTTACCACTTTTTTGTCCGTTGCCACTGGATTTGTCTTTACTGTGGATGCCGCCCCATCATCCTCTACTCGGATGTGCTCATTGATGCGTTGCATCAACTGCCCCATGGAAGTCGGTTGGTTCATCGTGAGCAAGTCCCTCACTCTATGCCCGACCGGGAGATTGCGTTTATACTGGGTGATTGCTAGGTTGGTCGGGCAATCTAGGATCTCGTTGAAGGTTTCCCAATATCTGGCGTTGTACGCTTTGAGGGAGTCGCTGGACTCCATCTTGACGCTCAGAAGGTGGTCCACTTCGTTTGGCGTTTTGGTGTTGGTTTTGAATCGAGTCACGAATGCTTCCGCCGACTGTTGCTACCTTTCGATGCTTTCCTCTAGAAGCCTCTCAAACCATTTTAGGCCCAACTCACCTAAACTCGATGGGAAAATAAGGCACATGAGAGCATCATTACGCCTGTGTCCAGCCATAACCTACCGGAAGTGGCTTACATGCATGTACGGATCGATTTTCCCATCGTAGAACATAAACTTGGGCTGGTGAAAGCCCGCTAGGAGCAGTGTGATATCTATCTCAAGAGAGAAGGGGGTGGCACTCAACCTCACCAAATCTTTGTCCAAAGGAACAGGCATGGCTGGACGGGGTGGCGGCATTATGACTTCCTCGCTGGCGTGACCTCCGTAGGATAACTGCTAGAGTGTCAGCACCCTTTGAACCTCCCGTCGGCGAGCTCACTCCTTCAAGACGTCCCTCAGGTCCTCCGATCAAGCGGAGTAGGAATACCCTAATGTCGTCGGCGGGCGTGAGGGATGGTAGCTACTATCTTGCACTCTAGACTTCTCAGTAGATGGGTCTGAGTCTCCAACTGCATAGCTTCTGGTGATGAAAAGGGAGGGCGTGCGCCACTGGTTCTGGCTGCCTGAGCGGTGGGGTTGGGTGCGCTCGTTGTGGTCACCCACTCCAACAACACCCTTCCCTTTGACTTGCCGTTTGAGAGCCTCCATCTCTGTCGCCATTCTCTGGATGACGGCATTTTGGTCCCTCAACTTGTGCTCCAGGTGTTGAGCGTGCGACTCTTTTCGCCGTCGGTGTCCGTCTGGACTCCGCAAGTGACCGAAGCTCCTGGTGTGCTTATCTCGTGCATCTCTAAGAAGTCCTCCTGGGGAGGCCTCCAGGCCTGCCATGTTTGGAACGGTGGGAAGTCCGTCTCTCCATCGGACTGACTCTGGGGTAATACCATCGATGGCAGACAATGGTACTTCGTCGTTGTTTTCCATAGAGGGTGATCCGATGAGCTTGGAGGGCAAGGTTATGTCTGCTTAAAACTTCCCACAGATGGCACCAATTGTACGGGGAGCAAATATTCGATACCAACCGTACTCCTCGCGTCCAAGCTGCGCCTTCCTCCGATCGACTTGCGAACACAACGAAGGTGAGCTACCCGGCGGTGCGTTGCCAGGAAACCCCTCTGACGATCAAGTCAGCACACACTAAGAGAGAGAGAAGAGAGAGATGACAATGTTTTAGTGTTTTTCTCACCAGAAGATGTTCCATCACCAGCATGGGGGGTGCAGTCATGCTTATATACCTTCTGTGTATGCCTCTGCATCCATTCGCCTTCTGACGCGCAGACTTGCTCTCCTATCCCGTTTCCCCACGTGTCAGCGCAAATTCAACTAAACACCACCTAATCAAACCGCCAAACGGCGTTGGCGTGAACAAGAAGTTCGGCAGCGCTGACCCAGTCGAGCTCCTAGCCGAGCTCCATCATGACCGAGCTTAATAGTCATCCGTTATGACCGAGATTCCGCACGGTTGGGCCGGTCTACGGAGGATCCCACTCACCGAGCTAAACGAGCGAACAATAGAAGCTGGGTTGGTAGAGGATCATCCCGGCCAAATCTGGTTTGGACTTCAACCAAGCAAACTCCACCGGGAACGGCCCAGCCCAGCTCGGCCCAAACATGCTCGAACCACCTTCTGCCCGGCCAACACCGCGGCCCAAGGCCAGATTATGAAATCTCCCTCTTAGTCACAATGGTATATATTCTCCAACCACCACACAATCTTAGTTAGAACATCTCGCATGAACACATGGTTGATATTTTTTATTTTATTTTATTTTTTTGATAACTCAGGGTGTCCAGGCCAGCTTGCGCGCACCTCGACTAATCCCTGGGGTACCAATCCCACCGTCCACTAGCGAGGGACCCATTTAAAGCCAGAGCAAAGCTCTATATGGACTGACCCAACACAAGAATTGATAGCACCTAAGAGGTTTTGAACTTGAGACCTAGAGGAGCAAACTCCTAAGTCCCAAACCTACACCACTAGGCCAACCCTTGGGGGTTACATGGTTGATATATAATACAGTCAAACATAATAAAATCTTAAATAAGGACTGCCAACAAAATAGGAGGTTAGTAAATACAAAAGTGTCACAATGATATATATTCTCCAACCACCACACAATCTTAGTTGGAACATCTCACATGAACACATTGTTAATATGTAATATAGTCAAACATTATAAAATCTTAAATAAGGACTGCTAACAAAATAGGAAGTTAGAAAATACAAAAGTGTCACAATGGTATATTCTCCAACAACCACACAATCTTCGTTGGAACATCTCACATGAACTCATTGTTGATATATAATATAATCAAAGCAAAGGACAAATATATATGTAAGCAATAGATTAAAGGTTGCTGATGAAGATGATGAACGATCACATGAACACTATCGATGAGGCAACCATAAGTAACATGACGCCACCACTTAGAGGCACTGCAGGAAATTTGAGTTTTCGCGGCGTTTTAAAAACGTCGCTAAAAGCTTAAAAAACGCCATAAAAAGTTAAATCGACGTGTAAAATTTTCGCCGCTAATACGGCCGCCGCAATAGCTTTACGACGTTTTGAAAACGTCACTAAAAATATACGACGGCGTTTTTTAAAACGTCGTTAAATCTTTGGCATCAACTTCCATTTCCGTCACAAATTAGCGTGTGACGTCAAAACGCCACCTTTTTTTTTAATAATAATAATAATGATGATTATTATTATTATTATTATTATTATTATTATTATTATATACATAGCATAAGCCAAAGAATTTAACTAAAGAAGGTGGCTTGAAAATTGAACTACGAACACAAATGGCTCAAATTCACATATCACCATGCATCAAGCTAATCAGAATTTTTGTACATCCAATATATTGTAATCAACCCATCATAAAACATTATACAAAGTTAGGGAAAAATACATAAAAGTATTCAACTCATCTATGAACCAAATTAATTGCACATTTCATGAGATTTTTACTATACAAAATATAAGTTCTCTTCAATCCACACAAAATATACTCTTCAATCCACGTGTTTGTTGGCGTCAAACTTCTCGCAGAGCTCAGATGCCTGAAACAATCAACCATCATTGACTAAATTAGACATGGAATATATCCAAAAAAAACATTGTTAGGGCTAATGAAATCAGAGAGAAACAATGAACTGGAAGAAAAAGACACGAAATAACAAACATACCAAAACTAAATATATGAATGAGCTTCTCTTTGTGTGTGTTCATCCCAACAAGAACAGTTGAATCGGAATTGACATCATCAACCGCAGCTTCAATTGCTGGCTTTGCTGATTGTCTAATAACATAATTGAAGGTGTACAGAGCTCCAATATTTACTACATTTGGCTTTTAGGAAGAAACACTAGCATTTCCAGTCCTAGCCATGACTTTCATGGGCACCCACAGACAAAATAACACCACTATCAATGTTCTCCTAATGAATAGACCAATCTCCATTTCTATGCAAGCCAGCAATTGCATAAATTGATTATTCAGCAATTTCAGGTTAGCATTGTTTCATGAAAGTTTGAAAAAATCAGACACCTGTTAACCGATGCAACAAGCAAGTGAAGCTTACAATACAAAGCTTGAAGATATAGGATCAAGATTACCAAACAAAGTGGGTCCCAAAACTCTCAGAATCCACGTTCTCAAACAAAAAAAAAAATGTGATACCAAAATAAAATATATTGTGTGAGCTCAATTGTAGCCTTCTGACTAAATGTCCAAACAGTACGATCAACTGCATTGCTGGGAGCTGATGTTAGGTCCTGAGAAAGAGAGAGAGAGAGAGAGAGAGAGAGAGAGAGAGAGAGATGTCCAGTTAATTGTTTTTAAGTGAATTCACTACAAATCACCAAAAGGAGGAGCCCATGTACGTGTACTAGTTAAAAAGACAAAAGGTGTACCATCCTAGAAAGAGCTAATATCCCAAGTTATCAACAATGTCCCTAATGTTGTGGATCAATTACACAGTTGTCTTCCACTCCATCCAAGTGTTCATCCCTCTTTGTAGAGGGCAGAGCACCAATCAACTATCTCATCCTTGCAACAAGGTTTAAAAAGAACATCAACGAACATATGGCAGAAACAGAAAAAAAAAAATAGAATCTCATGGTTTTAGAAGATAGAAATAGAAAGAAAAAAAAATATTACAAAAGTAATGCAGAACACTTTACCTCATAGCCCATAAAATACAAGCTAAATTTCATTTCTGGAAAATCCAACCTCTTAAGTAACCTGTAATATGCAATGAAGAAATTCATATCAAAATTCAATTTCATAGACTGTAGATTTACTCCTAACTTTCCTTTTTTATGAGCAATAAGAAACTATTATAAAAGAAAATGGATACAAGGAAACTAAAAGAATTCCTTGGCGCCCTCCAAATTTTTAAATATACTTCTCTAAGGTTCTTGTGATTGATAACGAACTTAGAAGTGCCTTTGCAGGATGCTTGTGCAACCTTACCTTAGGGGTTAATTCATGCATGCCTTGAGCGAAAACCTTGCAGCCAAATAGGTCTTCAAATCTGGAACTGCCTCAATGGCCTTTATCAAAGCCCAAAATCAGCTACCTGCTTTAACCAAGTATAATATGCACCCGATTGTATAAGAGCCCAAGCAATTATATATGACAACTAACTATAGCTTCATCTTCTTTTCTTTTTCCATTTTTTTTAATAACATTCATATACTCTAAAAAGGCCAGGAAAAAAGGAATGAATCTGTGTCAAAGATTATGGCTTACCCCATCATGAAGGTATTCTAATGCCCTTGCTACATCCACAGCTATTTGAATCCTCAAATCCCAATTCAATGGTTCAAGCTTTTCACCTGAACATCCAAATACTGGATATAAAAAAATATATATATACAAAAAGAATATATGACAGAAAACTGAAAATGCACACAGATTCTATCTTCTCTCAGTGGGCTGTTACATTGCTGGTTTGATTTTAGTATATCATATGGCTAAACATGCTATGTTCTTTCAGATCACGTATATAACTCTACTGATGATTAATTAACTCATTTCCAATGACTAGTCAGTCATTCAAGAAGCAAAGTTTTTGAACTGGATTTAAACTCAAACCAGAAAGTATGTCAGTTCACAGATACACTGGGAAAATAAACAGACAACTGGGAGAAAGAGCATAGCAATGGTATAAAAACTCTTGCAAAAAAAAAAGGTAAACTAATACAGGGGAATAGGAGAGCCTACAGACATCACCAACCATGAACTACCATTTTTCAGATAAACTAACACAAAAAACTAATACAAATTTATAACTTTGTTCTAGAGGTCAGTTCCTTCAACCTAAAAAATGCAGATAAACATAATCACACAGGTCATGACGAACTTGTTCAAGGGAAGTCAAAGCACATCCAACGCTGTTGCAGATGAAGTTGTAAATGATTCCAAAAGCTAGCAATGCAACAGGTTGAATAAAACCACAATAACATGCCCAACCGCCACATTCCTTTATACCAGTACAAAGTATTCTTCATTATTATGGTATGCCCTTTTTCCTATAGTGACAACCTAATTAAAATGCATGTAAAACACCCATAACTATATGAATCCCAGAGAAATATAAGACACAAACCCAACAAGATCATCCAAATGAAAACATCCATATGGGCCCTACCAATGGACCATTGTCTCACCATTGGTATCACATTATAGAATAGCATGATCATCACAAATTATATAAACTTGTTTTTTCTTTTTTTTAAACTAAAGAATGAAAAAATTACAGAGTTAATCAGCAGATTTGACAATGAGAAAGTAGAGAATGAAAAAGGTACCTGAGATAAGAGCAAGAGAGATCAGCTAGAACAGATCGATTTTGGATTTTGAATTTTGGATCTGCGATTTGATGAAGAACAAATCGATTTTGATGAAGAACAGAAACACAGACACTAGCAGTCTCAACAAGTTAAAAACCAAAATAATTTTTAAAAAAAAAAAAAACTACAAACACAAACACTCTAAATAACAAAATCAAAGATGATAATCCAATATTGTTTAGTTTTTGTGTGTGTGTGGAAATGAAGTTAGTGCATATACATGTGTGTATATATAGGTAAGTAGATAACATAGATAGATTCAAATAGAGAAGTAGGTGAAGGTGAATTGAGATGAATTAGACGAAGAGAGAGAGAGAAGCGAACCAATGATGAGGACATGAGATCTGCAGTGCTTGCAGTAATAGACAAAGAGATCGAAGTCTGGACCATCTGGTGCCCGTCTTCACTCGAGTAGCCTCGAGATCGATGAAGAACAGAGATCGTTGCAATTGATGAAGAACATCTAGAGCAAACTACTGCGGTTGAGTTCTGTGTGTTTGAGCTTCAAATTGAGAGTTGTTGAGCTTCGATCAACATTGATAAAGAACATACAATGCAAAATCTGCAATTGATCGAGCAAGCAAGAGAGAGAGTCTGTGTGTTTGAGCTTCAAATCGAGGGTTTTGGAAGAGAGAGAGAGAGAGAGAGTTTGAGCTTCAAATCGGGGTTGTGGAAGAGGCAGAGAAAATGAGAGACGGAGTCCAGGATGGTGTTAATAAATTGACCCAACAAGACATCGTTTAACGGAGATCAAAGACAACGTTTTTAAAATGCTGTGTTTAATGAATCTATAATGGCGTTTCCATAAACGCCACAAAACAAATGTTGCAATATGCCCTTTTTTTAGTAGTGAGGACCTTGGAAATAACCTTGATCGTCAATAAAATAAACATGCTTTAGTTCAAATGAGAGCTGATCGATAAAAAAAAAAAAATGAGAATGGAATTCAGGCGCTTAAAAAGAGGAAAAAAAAATATTTTGGTAGAGTAATGTTGTACATAAACGAGTTTCACATTATCACTTTCTTGCAACAAATCAACTTTTTAGGGACAAATTTAATTCATCCCTAAAAGTATAATGTGATCAATTAAACTTCTATTATCACTTGTCATTTACAATAAGACAAAATTTGCTAACATAACCCCCAAACTTTTTTTTTTAATATTTTAAATAAAATGTTTTCCACCTATATATACAATGACACTAAAAAGATGCGTGTAAAAGTTATTCATCTCAAAATATAAACAATTAAAAATATAAATAAATAAATAAAAAGTTAGTTGGGACAGTGAGAGTGACAAAAGATGGCTAGGCACTGTTTGGGAATAAGGTTTGTAGGCTTTTTTTGGCTATTTTAGTCACAAAAGATAAAATAGGCCATTTTAACCACAACCAACAAAACATTATATCCAACTCATAATCATTATATTCTTCTCTCACAAAAAAAGTCAAAAAATTAAAAAGTACTTCACAAACTAAACTTTTTAGCCCAGATTAAAATAATCAAAAAAATTAAAAAGCAAAAAAGTCAATTCAGTTCCCAAACCAACCTTGAAAGTGAAAAAATTGGGTGAATTTTTACAACATCGCATTCGGATGGAAATTAATGTTCATAATGGACCAAAAGACAAGTGCGTTGCTATAGACCACCAATGGATCAATTGTACGGCTTCGGATCGTCTGTCCAGTTGTGTGTCCCAACTCCCTGTCCCCTTACTTTTGTGCTTACACTGTCCATCACTAAAACTATTTCCTAACTCTTTTAACTATCTCCTATCCTTCTCTCTCTCTCTTGAGTCATGATAGTCCGTTCTTTGTAACCTGAATCAAGTCATCTTCTTTGTCATCATCTAATATAAATTAGACAAGAACCAGCAAACACAAATTTCAGCCGCACAAGAATGAACAATAATTCAAAATTTTCAAATATAACAAATCAAACTCAATAAATAAAATTAGCAATTTATGTTTGTGAGTAAACAGGGGGTTTACGAATAGGATAAAAAGAAAAGAGGAAAACTTGATTGGGGTACTGTATCTATGTATACATATATGACTACGTATCTATCACTCTCGCACTCTCTGTTTGGTGCAATTTTAGAGATCTGGTTCAATAATAATTTTGATGTCAAATTCAGTACAAGGCTCGGTAAGTGAACGAATTTCAGAAGACTACTTTTACAAAGGGAATGATGAAAATACACAACATAAAACTGATCAATGGCATCTAGCAGAACTTTTACACTACACCTACTACCACATTTTCTTCTATATATAGGAGTTGTAATACATAACAACACAATCAATCAATATATACATATCAATCATCTCTCTCTATCAATTTATCTTTCATGGTATCAGAGCTATAGGTTAAAGATCTTGGTGTTTTTCGCCTTCTAGCGGGCGGCAACTTTGCCTTGACCGCCCGCCGGACCTCAACCAATTTGAGACCTCAGTCAACTCGCAAGACCTCTCTCACACTTTCTCTCTCTACTTTACAGTGATAACTGCGCGTCCCCATCCTCAGTTACAGCCAGTTCATATCCTGATATTTCCATACCCAGCTCAAGGCCACATGTTACCCCTGCTGGACCTAACCCACCAACTAGCCCTCCGTGGCATCACCATAACCATTCTGGTGACACCAAAGAACCTCCCAATCCTGCACCCTCTCCTCTCAACCCACCGCCCATCTTCAATCCAAACCCTGGTCCTTCCCTTCCCATCGCACCCGTCTCTCCCCTCTGGCGTCGAGAACATCAAGGACATCGGCAACGCAGGCAACTTACCCATGATCAACGCCCTCGGCCAGCTTCACGATCCAATAATCCACTGGTTCAAGTCCCACCCATCACCCCCTGTGGCTATCCTCTGTGCTTTCTTCCTTGTCAAGCTCCAGCTCCATCCTATCATCGGACGACTCACGCCGACGACTCTCTTCATTCCTCTCCTGACTCACGCTGTGATATCTCGACACCGGCTCAAACCCCAGCGTCAGCTCCAGCTCAATCTCGCCGTCACCAGCCGAATCATTCGTCTTCAGAATCGACTCATCAGTCTCCGCAGTATCCAAGCTCTCCTCTACCTCCCGGCTCTCACCGTCCACATTCGCCGCCGCCGCGGCTGCTTGAGACAGGTGACTCAGCGACGACTCGTGACTCGTCGACCGATTCAACTCACCCCCAGGCACAACATTAACCAGGCAAGCCTTCGGCTTGACAACAGCACCTGACTTCTTGAACCGGCACCGATTCCGAACCCGGTGAACATCGTTGGACCCAGCAGAGTTATCGTCCTTGGAAACATGACGAAAGTCGTAAACTTTCAAAGGCGGGCCATTGTTAGACTTGACCAATCTGCACTCTCTCTCCTCCTATCTCCTATCACTTTCCTGAGCAATATGCTCAGCCATCTGTCTTCACTCACTTTGACACATTATTTATTTTTTTTTGTTTTTTCACCAATCCTCCTTTTTCTTTTTTAATCACACCGATCCACCGCCCAACCTTTCTTTTCATTATTATACAGCTTAGTTGGTCTATCTTCTACTTTCTTTTTTATTAATACCCTCCACCGCCCAAACTTTATGTTTTATTATACAGCTTAATTGGTGCTCTTGATTCGCCCTGTTCCCTCTCCCTCCTTTATTATTTTTCTTCATCATTCTCTATTCCTCATCACCATGATAAAAACAAAAAAAAAAAAATTCATTCCCAACCAACTCGGTTTTTATTCCACACACTTGTCCTTTCTTCATGCCGGGATCAACCCCGATCACAATTTCCCCCAAAAAAAAAAAAAAAAAAAAAAAAACAAACAAACAAACCACCAAAACCAAAGACCACCATCACAACAACCACAGATTTGTTCTCTTTTCTGCAGACGGCCACCCACCGACATCACTTCTTCGCCTATTCCGCCGGTCTCTTCTTCTTGCCTCCGTCCTGGGCAGCCCTTGCCAGTGTTGCCTCCGTGCTTCCTAGACTGCCAAGCACGTTCACTGCCCCCTGCTCCTCCACTGCAGCATATGGCGGACCTCCAAATCGAAACATCACGGTGGCCTTCCGCTTCAGCTCCTTGTTTTCTGCCCTTAGCACGCTTATCTCTGCTCGCGCATCCTTATACATGCGTTGGAGCAGAGCCAGCTGGGAGTTTAATTGTTGTACTTCATTTGTCCTACTCTGCAGCCGGTTTGACAAGTTTGTCACCGCAGTCATGGTTTCCACACATGACTTCAAAGTATACTGATTGGCCTCCACATCCGACTGCACTGCCATTTTTTGCTCCACAGACCGCATCGGAAAGTTCAACGGAGCAAAACCAGAAGCGCTTGGTTGAGTTTCACTGGCCACCGCACCAGCTCTCTCTCCTGTGGACTCATTGAGATTGGGAAAGAGGGTGAGCAGTCCACGGGAAGACAAGGCCATTTTCTCTCAGCAAAACGACCTCTCTTTCTCAGCAAAACGAAGAATTTTTCAGAGGTCTCTCTCAGTTTTTCTGTCTCAGTTTCTGCCTCCTCCGCTTCGGTTTATAAAGACCACGACACAGAAACAGCCACGCGCATCGCGCGCCTCTTGACGCTCGCAGACAAACAGGCACGCCAGCCCAGGCACTCACGTGCCTCTCCATCATATCTGGCACGCCTTTTGATGCATCGGGCACGCCTTTTGATGGCACGCCTTTTGACAGATTGGACACACCTTTTGAGGGCACAACTTTTGAGGGCTCGATATCTACATCCATGTATATCTTTTGGGCAGCCTATATACACACTCATACAGTGCCTTCTACACCGGTCAGCTTTATCAATCCCTTTGTTTCAACCTCAAATAGGTTTCTATCTTCACACCTATTTGAGTTTGAGGGGGGGGTATACACAGTATCATGTATAAATCGCTCATGGCGCACTCCCTAAGTCGCCCCCTTGGTGCACCACCACAACCTCTGCTACAATGGTCCGACATGACCCCATAAACTGTCTTCTACATCGGTCTGACACGACCATACCGTGTCTCCTATCCTGTTTTATTTATCAGTTTATTTTTCTGTTTTGTGACTCTCTCCAAACTCAAGTTGGCTAGTGCCTATCCTCCTTGAGTTTGAGGGGGGCTGTTAATGTAAATTGTAAATAGTAAATCACCCACTCCACCTACCACCTCCACTACCACCCACTCCACCATTTTCTTCCACTACACTACACCTACTACCACATTTTCTTCTATATATAGGAGTTGTAATACATAACAACACAATCAATCAATATATACATATCAATCATCTCTCTCTATCAATTTATCTTTCAGTATCTATCACTCTCGCACTCTCTGTTTGGTGCAATTTTAGAGATCTGGTTCAATAATAATTTTGATGTCAAATTCAGTACAAGGCTCGGTAAGTGAACGAATTTCAGAAGACTACTTTTACAAAGGGAATGATGAAAATACACAACATAAAACTCATCAATGGCATCTAGCAGAACTTTTTTTTGACAATCTAATGCTATTTTTACAAGGTTGTTTCGGCAAGTGAACACATTTCAGAGAAGCGACAGTAGTCTGAGTACCACATCCTGCATCAGGCAGGAAGCAATTGACGGTGAAGATGTGAGGTCGCTGGTATCCAGAGCTGAGATGAACCGGTCACGTGATCCATTGGAGAGAGAGGGAGACACGTGGCAGTATAAGAGGAACGGCACTGAGAGGTGGGACAATATTGGGACCGAAGATCCAACCCCAATTGTACGTGTCTTTGTTACCGTAGTTTCTAAAATATATATACATATATATTCATTTTTTAACGTTTGGCACGATAGAAAATAAATATCAACAGAAGGGAAAGTCTATAGTACATTTTGTTTAAAAAATGTATGGTACATAGAAAATAAATGGTTCAGGTTGAGCCACATCATTAAAAGTGACCTGGTAAGCAGGTCACTTTTTATAGTTATGAGCGAAAATCATATTTGTTCATAACTAAAATCAAATTAATCATAACTTAGTTATGAGCTCTCATCACATATCTCATAACCAGTACCATTTTGTTGATAACCAATATCATATATTTCATAACTACAATCACATATCTCATAACCACATCTCATAACCAATATCCTTTAGCTCATAATCACACCACTTTGATCATAACCAATATCACATATCTCATAACATTAATCACATATCTCATAACTACTACCCATATAACTCATAACCACATCTTATAACCAATCCCCCTTTGACTCATAACCAATATTACATATCTCATAATCAACACCCTTTTGCTCATAACCACGTCACTTTGATCATAACCAATATCACATATCTTATAACTAATAATCACATATCTCATAACCAAACACTCTTTTGACTCAGAACCACACCACTTTGCTCATAACCAATATCACATATCTCATAAACAACAATCACATATCTCATAACCATTACTCACATATCTCATAACCAACACTCTTTGGCTCATAACTAACATCACATATATCATAACCACTAATCACATATCTCATAACACCCTTTGGCTCATAGTCACACCACTTTGATCATAATTAACATCACATATCTCATAACCACATCTCATAACCAGCACCATTTTGTTGATAACCAATATCATATATTTCATAACTACAATCAGATATCTCATAACTACATCTCATAACCAATATCCTTTAGCTCATAATCACACCACTTTGATCATAACCAATATCACATATCTCATAACATTAATCACATATCTCATAACTACTACCCATATAACTCATAACCACATCTTATAACCAATCCCCCTTTGACTCATAACCAACATTACATATCTCATAATCAACACCCTTTTGCTCATAACCACATCACTTTGATCATAACCGATATCACATATCTTATGACTTATAATCACATATCTCATAACCAAACACTCTTTTGACTCATAACCACACCACTTTGCTCATAACCAAAATCACATATCTCATAAACAACAATCACATATCTCATAACCATTACCCACATATCTCATAACCAACACTCTTTGGCTCATAACTAACATCACATATATCATAACCACTAATCACATATCTCATAACACCCTTTGGCTCATAGTCACACCACTTTGATCATAATTAACATCACATATCTCATAAACACATCTCATAACCAGCACCATTTTGTTGATAACCAATATCATATATTTCATAACTACAATCACATATCTCATAACTAAATCTCATAACCAATATCCTTTAGCTCATAATCACACCACTTTGATCATAACCAATATCACATATCTCATAACGGTAATCACATATCTCATAACTACTACCCATATAACTCATAACCACATCTTATAACCAATCCCCCTTTGACTCATAACCAACATTACATATCTCATAATCAATACCCTTTTGTTCATAACCACATCACTTTGATCATAACCAATATCACATATCTTATAACTAATAATCACATATCTCATAACCAAACACTCTTTTGACTCATAACTACACCACTTTGCTCAGAACCAAAATCACATATCTCATAAACAACAATCACATATCTCATAACTATTACCCACATATCTCATAACCAACACTCTTTGGCTCATAACTAACATCACATATATCATAACCACTAATCACATATCTCATAACACCCTTTGGCTCATTGTCACACCACTTTGATCATAATTAACATCACATATCTCATAACCATTAGTCATATATCTCATAATCAATACTCTTTGGCTCATAACCATACCACTTTACTTATAACCACTAATCACATATCTCATAACCAACATTCTTTGGCTCATAACCACACCACTTTACTCATAACCACTAATCACATATCTCATAACCACACCACACTACAAGAAAAGTGGGCTTATGAGGCGGAACTTTTTGCGACGTCACATTTGCCATCGCAAAAATGACTTTTTGCGATGGCACAACTTGCTGTCGCAAAAAATATGACTTTTAGAGACGGCACAACTTGCCATCTCAAAAAATATGACTTTTTGAGACGGCACAACTTGCCGTCGCTAAAAAATGTGACTTTTTGAGACGGCACAACTTGTCGTCGCAAAAAATGTGACTTTTGTTGAGACGGCACAACTTGTTGTCGCAAAAAATGTGATTGGTGGTGTTCGGGCCTGTTGGGAATGACAATGAGTGGAAAGAGGTGATAGTGTTTGGTGGTGAGGGTGTTGGGGTAGGCAGAGATAGGAGATGGGTCGCAGGAGACGAAGATGAGTATGGGAGAGGGATGTGGCTGTGGTTGATGCGAGGGGAAGACAAGGACTAGGCAGATATGCCATGAGAAACACAGAAAGTTATTAGGAGGGGGAAAATCAATGGAATGCCTTGTAGTGGGCAGATGCCATGCAGGCGTGGGTTTAAAGCATCTGGGGTCGCCACCATTCTCTCTTCCGCGCATCTAAAGCTGTTACAATGGTGCCTTTATAATTTATTAGGAGGGGGGAAAATATGAAAATCATCCAAGTTAAAACAAGTCCATTAGATTTACACTGTATAGGTAGGGCATTTTCTGCAACAAGTTTTGGAGTCCGCCAATGTCATGAAAAGGGAATACAAAGTGTCAGATCACCATTCCTGCAAATTATCAATCCAGTGATGGTTAAAGAAGGAAGGTCCAGCATGTTTACAGTAATTTCATCTGAGCAATAATTAATTTAGAAAGGAAAATGTTATTTTTTCCGCAGCATATATACTACTAGAAATGTTCCCTCTCCTCAACAAACGGAAACTATAAGCTCTGTAAAACAGATTCTCTCTCTGACATATAAAACTAAATCATAACAACAACACAGCAGCGCATTAACTACACTTCTTAGAAATTTAACATTGAAGTGTCTACGAAACATGCCAAAGACAGTCCAAACAAAATAAAGAAGACATGCCAACAAGGATCCGGACCAGAATCTAGTGCAATGCAACCCACTCAATGCGGAACATATGAATGTTGCCTTCGCATTGCAAACCATTCTAATGATTATTTGATATAGATTTCTTGACATCAGCCCCAATTTCTATCAAAAATGAAAATGGTTTTGTTATCACTACCCGAGTCCACCAAGCAAGTTTGCACACAACCATTAACCAGCATGAATTTGGCTATGCCAGATAAATAAATGTTTTAAGAGGTGTCCTATAAGGAAAATTGCCCAAACGCATACTTTTTAAGATGAAGGCCCTAAAGATCTTTCAGAAACTAGTAATACTATAAGCAAACAGTAGGTGCAACAATGAAGGTACAAAAAACATAATATCATGGCAGTTTCCAGCAATAAATATACCATTAAACAAACATGAACTACTGAATTGATGGTTCTTCAAGTAAAATGTGGCTAAAAAAATATTGAAACTCAGATACTGGAGTGAGCTTGTTTAAAAAGAGTGGCGGCAATTAAAACGTCACACAGTCATCATCAGACAAGAGAAGTACAAGCTGCACATCACAAATAGATAAAATAAAAATTATCATGATTTCCTACAACGTCTTCAAGGTAGCTGGTTTGGATGTTTTTTAACTGTCCGGCAAGCATCTCCTTTCTTAATTGACACCATGATGTTTACAGCCCCTCAATGTTCTAAATTAGCGGCTGAGAAAAATATAAACCCAATAATAGAACACAAAGATGCAAAAAAAAGTGTTATCTATCATCCACATATGCATAAACAGTGAAATGCTAAAGAAAAAAAATTTATAAGAAAAAATACTAGCAACAGGCCTGAACAGGTTTCTTCGCAACTAAGCATGCGTGTACTGCCGATTTTTTCTTGACAAAATGATCCTTCCCAGAACCTGCAAATAAGATTAACGTGTACATCATAATTGAAGCTAGAGTAAACATGGTCGAATGACTCCTTGGAGGCCTAAAATTCAGTAGAAGATTTAAATTTCACATGCAATTTATTCAAAATATTAAATTGATTACATATGCATGCTTTCTATTTTAACCAATCATGAAAATAGATTGTGATAACTCATGATGAAGATTTATAAATCCATGAGATGAATAATAAAAAACCAAGGGCATAGATTCAAGGAAGATGCCACGAAGCACAAACTTTAAGGGTCAGCACTGAATATTGAGCCTAAAGGCTTGCCAAACATCAAGAACATAAATTTGCATAAGCTTTTGATTTTGTCTTCTCATCATAATATAGCACTAATAGACAATTATATTTCTTTTCCCAAAAAAAAGAGACAAATTTTTTACTATGAAAAACCAGAAGGAATCTACTCTGACACATGGATAATGTTCAGTTCAAGGCAACTCTGGCAATCAATGGTTAATAAAATCGAGGAATATAGAATGGTTGAGAGAGTCTAGTAGATTGAATCATATCGGATCAAGAATCATAAGATTATACTTTTAATAACAATGAAAAAAGGTAAAAATACCAACAAGGAATGAATGCATATAAGAATGAGGGTGAAAAAAAACACCAAACAAGATCGCTCGCAATCTACAAGATCTACTATACAATCCAGCTATACTATATGACAAGTTTTACAACATTTGGTCTTTTTGACGATTAGGGTCACTAAAGATTCTACACAGCCTACAATCCAGATCGGCATTGTTATTTATGTCAAGCATATACATGAGAAGCTTCGAGTTTTAGGCCCTGGGATTGGATCCATTCTCATAGCTTAAAATGCGACCTAGATGGGTCCGCATAGATCAACAAATAAGACAAAAATGTTTGGCTAAAAAAGGGAAGCATCTTAGTACACTATCCTATGACAGGTTCATGTTTTAACGCTCCATAAAAATTTCCAATTGGATTCTGAAAGAGTGTGGGCTTTGTTTTGCATTTGGGTCATATATAGATTTGTTGTCACTCTATGCTTTCGGTTTTGATACGTCTTTATGAGGATATGTTGGGTGGTTGTGTCTTCATTGTGAATATATGCTTGACATCCTAACAACAAAATTAGTACCCTTGTAATTTGATAAACTTGGTGCATACTCTCAGTAATAATATGTCCTATTATCTTTGCCTTTAATACTTGTAATAATTGATCTCGAAAATCGATTTGGCATTTGAGAGCACACACCTTCGTTCTTGTAAGCATTCTAAAAACTTTGCGTCTTGCGTTTTACTATGGGTAATATACATCACTATTTTATTCCATTGGGTTGGGGTAACAAGCTTCCTTATTGTCATTGAAGCAGCCGCTTTTTTCACTTCTTTTTTTTTTAATCTCATCCATCCATCTGTATGTTCTTTTCCTCTATGAAAATTCGCATGGATCTTATCTTTTGGAGAAGAGATGAAGGAGGTAAGTAATTTGAAAAAAGAAGAAACCCTTTTGAGTAAGCCAAATATGGAATTTGTCATTAAAGAAGTTCCATCCACCAAAATTCTAGTGTCAAGAATTACTTCATGAAAGCCTAAAATTTTCTATTAGTTCATTAGGTAAAAAGTATACAAAGCATGGCCATTAATTTGA